TATTGCGGTCAGCGCGAGGAGCAGTGGCAGTGGCTGAATGTAAATGGGGCTTTAGAACTGATATCAGTTCGACTGATGACTTTAACTGACCGTGTGTGGCCACCATTAGACTCAAATAAAAGTTATACACAGGTTCGACTGAGGCCTTGCTCCTGAACATTTTTAGTTACTGTGTATCAGGAAAATACTCATAGAGAAAATTTTAAAGAAATAAACTTAATAAACATATTAACTTTGGCATCGCAATAGATTTATGAAAATGTAATGTATGTAACTACATAAAAACAGCTTTCATAAGAATAAAGATGTTCATACTATATACTAGAAACATACATAAGCTTGTAATACCAGTTACTAGACACCACAGAATTAGTACCTAATTAATTTATGGGGCAATGTACCTTTTTACAACAAAATTCCAGAAAATTTACAAAATTTGTCATTAAACAAGTTTAAATGTTTTATTACGGAAAAATTGTACAAAATATGTAATAACCCTTATTATATTATAAAAAACTACGTAAAAAGAAAATAACCCCTGAGAATTAGGTAATCGCCACCATGCTGGTTCTATAAAAATTCATTCAAAAATTGTACAAAATAAATTTATTGTAAATTGAAATATGTTTAGAAAAGTATTAGCTGGGTTTTTTGCTGGTTCTTCCCAGGCTGGAGGGTTTTTTCAAACCAGTGATAAATAAAAAAAATCTATAAGTATTATACAACAATCTATATTGAATAAAAAAGTCCCATAATTTATGTAAAAACAATATTAATTTAATCAAATGAATTATGTATATAAAAAAATTAGAAAAAAAAACTATACCTAATAAAGAAAAACAGCGTGTAGGAGACTCGCAGCAATATCGTGCCAAAACGTTGTCTGCTAACCTATGAATCTAACCTACTTATAAGCTTTTTATTTTTCTCAGTTTACACATGTTATTAAAAATTTACAAATAGAAATCATCACAAACTTAACTTAGAAACATACTTAAATAGCCTGTGACTCAGCTATGTGGTGGTTTTAGGTCAGCGCTGGTATTCTGCCTACATAGTCAGTGATCTATGATTCTGCCACAGCCGGCTATTTTAAAAAACACAGTATATTATCCTAATTTTGGCATTGACGTAATACAACTAAAGAATAGACTAAAATGTTTATTCATATGTGCAATGCAAATTTAGTAAGTAGTAGGTAAAGGAGACAATCGCCTCTGGGCCTACCAGAAACTTCAACGACTCTCAATGGTATTAGTAAGAATTAAGTCTGTAGTTATATATAATATTTCATACCTGCCTCCAACTTTTGTTGTTCAAGTAACCACACTTTACATTTCTTTCTAAATAAATTAGTATTTACCACCTCCTGCAAAGGAGGAGGTATATTGTTCCAAATTTTGGAGGCAGCATATTTGAAACATCCTTTTGCTTTAACACACTTATAAGTTGGAAGTATATATAATAGTTTACCCCTTCATCTCAAACGTGTTAGTCGACATTTTGGAGATAAAAATAATGAGGACATTGCGAATTATTTAATAAGTGTACGAAACAAGCATATTTTAATTTTCTAGTGTAACTCATACTTAAAATATTATTTTTGAGGAGATAAGGAGTTATGTGGTTAGTTCTAGGTATGTCAAAACAATTGCGCATACACGCATTTTGAAATCTTTGTATTCTCCCTATGGTTTTCTGTGAGAGGCAAGGACCATATACCAAGTCGCAATAATGCAAATGTGACAAGACAAGACTATTACAAAGACGGAGCCGGATGTTTGGTTTCAGAAAAGAACGAATTTTGTAAAGAGATTTCAAAGACCCAAAACATTTTCCTATTTTTTGTTGTACGTGCTGTACAAACGTTAAACCTTCATCCATATTAAGGCCCAAGTTAAGAATGCAATTATTTCTAAGAATGGTTGTGTCATTGATCATGACAGTTGGGTCAATTTTTTTGATAGATGCAACCTAATGACGTGTACCCATAATTATACTTACATGTACTTTTTTTTGGATTCAGAAGCAAGCCATGAGACTTTGACCAATACTCTATTAATTTTAGATCATTATTTAAGCTGGTAACCGCTGTTGTAATGCTGTCGTTTGTTGGTGACATATGGACGTACAATTGAGTGTCATCGGCATAAAGGTGATATTTGGAGTGCTAAACTACGTTTTTTATGTCTGTTGTGTAAGGCGAAGAGTGTTGGGCCAAGAATGGAACCTTGAATAACGCCTTTAGAAATTGATAGGGGCTACGAAATATTAATATTATCTTCAGTATTGGTGAATTTTACTTTTTGACTCCGCCCGTAGAAGTATGATTGAAACCACGAACATGCCGTTTCGGAAAAATCAAAGATTTTTAATTTTGCCAGTAAAAGTGGTATATAAACGTAGTCGAAAGCTCGAGAAAAATCAAGTAGCACTAGAATGGTACCTTGTCCATTATCAGCGGCGGAAAATATCATCCATATGTGTTAATGCTGTAGTTGTGCAAAATTTTTGCCGGAAACCTGATTGGAAGATTGGAAGACCGGAAGAATGGCAGTATTTTTAAGATAGCTAGTAATTTGTGACTGTGCACACTTCTCAACTATTTTTGACAAGGCAGGCAATATACTTATTGGCCTGAGGTCATCAAAGCTGTCTATTTTCTGTTTCTTAGGTATAGGTATGATCAATGAGCACTTCCAAACATCGGCAAATACTCCTTCTAACAATGATTTATTAACGATGGCTTCAATGGCAACTAAAGAGTATGGTAATGTAAGCTTAATCATATTCATGCAAATTTCATCACATCCTTTAGAGTTAGAAGAAAAGGAATTAATAATCTTCTGTAGCTCTGATGCACTCACTCTATTAAAATTGAACTCCGATAAGTTACTCCTACGAATACTTTCAAAATTTTGGAACTGTTTTAAGTCAACCGTCAACACAGGAACACTATTTATGAAATGTGTATTAAGTTTTGTGGACCAAAAGATGTTCAGGAATTGATTTACTAGAACCGTTCTTAATTGTTTTATTAATGTGCCGCCCCATTAAAGACGGATTATTAATATTATTATTTACAAATTGGGTAAAATATGCCTGTTTCTCAACACGAACAGCACAATTATATATGTTGCGCATGTCCTGATAAAATTTAATAGCTGATTCGGAATTACATTTTTTAGCTTTCCGGCAAGCTTTATTAGGAATATTTCTCGTATTATATTATCACATATATATAGTATTATATATCATTAAGTTCATTATACAATGGTGTATGTAACAGTATGAGTTCCCAAGGAGTGAATGCAGATGCTTTCTTAATATATTCGGCATTATCTGTCAGTGGTCACCTCGGGGTTTTCTATTCGGAACACTAATAGGAAATGTCGCTATTACTAGTCCATGATCACTTAAGTCATCATTATGTACAACATCTACCGATGTGGGCTGCAAATTAACTCTAATAAACATGACATCAATAAGTGTCGAAGTATGAGGCGTTATACGAGTCGGTAAATTAACAATTTGATGTAGCTTGAGTTGTAAGAGCTTGAGTTAGTAAGAACTTCGAAACACTTAGGTAGAGTTACATGACTGTTATGATCTATACAGTTTATATTAATATCACCGACAATAAATACATGCTCGTAATTAGATCCAAATATTGACAAAGATTCGTCAAGAGCATCGATTGCGATATCTTGACTTACAAGCTCAGGTCGATAAGCAATTCCAATTAATAAACTATGTCGCTTAATTTTAATATCAATCCATAATTGTTCAAGTATGGAATCGGGATGATTAAGTTGTTTTACACGTAAATTCGACCTCACATATACATCCACATCGCCACCACGGCCACAACGAGGCTTATGCATGAGAGTATAGCCAGGAATAGCATAAGCACCAATATCAGAGTCAGTTTTTAGCCATGTCTCTGTTAGACAAACGACATCAAAGTTAGCCAACTGAAATGAGGCTTCAAGTTCATCCCAACCCGTATTAAGCGAATGAACATTTAACAACCCCATGATAAACTGTCTATTTTTGTTTTGTGAATTGAATTCTGTCATCTTTATGCACGCGACATTGATAGTGACTTTATTGACTACTTTAACTATTTAGTGACTATTTTATTGTATTCAAAATAACTATAATAGTTTCAATTAGTTGAAATAATATTAATGTACGAATATTCAACAACTGAGTTCTTTCTGATCAGCTCGATTCCCTGTCGCTGCGAAGAATTGCATTTTCTATCGCATTTACCATGAAAAAGCTCGGAGAAACATCAATTCCACCAACGCACATCCCAACAAAATTCCTTATACCGCCCACACCACCTGGATCCTTGACGGTTCACTACTGTGCGATTTACTAGGAGTTTTCTTCCTCGCACGCTTTCTTTATGTCGGCAATGTACCTGCAATTCCTGGTGTTGAAAGTTGTTCGCGGGCGGCGGTCGACACTTTCCATCAGGTGAGTCGCATGCTCATTTGCCTTCTTTTTTCTAAAAAAAACAGAAGATAGGCAGCAGCAGCTTGTGTGGCAGCAGGGGAATGTAGGGTATTATGGCAAAATCTTCCTTATGAGGCAATCTATCGAGTGATCTGGATTCAACTGTGCACTTTTATAGACTTTATTAGATAGTTATTTTTCAAATAGTAGCCAAACTTAAGTTAAAATATATATATATATATATATATATATATATATATATAATGAATGATAAACCGTTATTGCAATTTTTGAAAATACGAGTAAACAAGCTAATGGGCAACAACGTTTTACCTACCGATCGACGCTTACGAATGTATGCATCTTCATCATTGTCCTAACTTATTCTGAACCTTCTCTGCAAACTTGGACGGTAATTGCAAAATAACCCTGTATATAGAAAATAAAACGAAATGTTTACCAATAAATGTTAAATGTATTTTTTTAGCTTTAAATTTGATTGAAAATAATGATATATAAAATTGTTATTGGCTATTTCAGTACAGGTAGACACCGTTGCAAACGCAACCGCAGTTTCCGCCGAAACTTCCAGCAATAGAAACAACATCGCCGGCTGGGACTTCACCTCCAAATCTGATATCGCCAAGAATCGGAACCTGACCAGTTAGAAAAGTGGTACCAGCGACACCCACCTCGCCAGCGACCGCAACGTCGCCGATGCCTGCACCTCCATAAGCGGGGCCAGCGATACCAGCAGGGCCAGCGAGACCGTATCCAAGACCGAGTCCAGGTCCGTAAGCCAATTCATTAGCTAAAGCGGTTCCACACCCGGCACCGTATTTAGCAGCAAATCCAGGAGCGTATCCCAAGCCAAGTCCACAAGGCACACATTCTGATAAAGAATGAAATCCTTGTTAGCTTTACAAATAATGCCTTAAGCGAATACATTTTGAGCTTTAGGAAAAAAGAAAACGCTTAACGGCCTTACCATACCTACTACCTCCTTTCTATTTTCTTTATCAGCCCAAAATAGTCCACAGCTGGAAAAGCGATGGCAGTACCAGTCTCTTATCTTTACGCAATTTCCCTTTGCCATGTATTTTTTCTAAAAAGGAAATAATTTTGCTAACCAATCTAGGTTATTAAAAATGACTTGTATTAGGAGTTACGACTGATTCACGACAATAGGCGAACGGCGAATTCAAACCCATGACTTTTTGAATTCTCGCTCCGCATTTCCTACCATTAGGCTACTGCAGCTCTAAATTTTACATAGCTTTACTACTTATTTTACAAAATGGGTTATAAAAAAATATAACAGCGGAATTTTACCTGGATCAAGCAAGCTTGAACGCAGAATAACAAGAAGGTAAAAGCAGACATGTTAATGAAGTGAAGTCCTCAGTGATTCTTTATTTTTCAACACAAAATAATAAGCTTTTGTACTTAAAACTGTATCTATTCTCTGGTTAAACGTAACGTGGTAAACTTTCGTAACATGAAATAAAACGTGCGCTTTTTTGATAAACATTGTGTTGCAAATAAATTATCGAAAAAAAAATTATAATATAATATAAAAATATATATATATATATATATATACATATACATAGTCATGGATTCGACCCCACACAGAGTGATACAAGTACGTGCATAAATGCTATTGCTGACTTTGCACCCTGTGTGTGGCCTATATCGCGTCACTTGAGTAAGCAAATGTAATATAGTCTGCATGAAAGATGTATTAGAATAAGTTTGCCATTGTTGAAGTACATGAGCTTCTGTACGGACATCTCTTAGTTTTATTTTAGTTTTTAAAAACGCCTCCACCGCTCGATCTCGCTCGAGCTCGATCATCGGATGAAGTCAAACACTATATTAGAACAAAAAACGAAGACCCTATCTATATCAAACCCTATAGGCAACCTCCCGATCAAACACATGAAATTAAAAGCCAGGTGCAGAAACTATTAAATGATAATGTGATTCAGGAATCCTTTTCCCCTTGGTCAGCCCCAGTCTATTTAGTTCCCAAAAAGAGAGACGCATCTGGTGAAATGAATAGGGTGGTTATCGATTACAGAAGTCTAAACGACGTAACTGTGGACGATAAGGACCCTTTTACCCAATATCACTGTCATTTTTGACAAACTGGGTAAAAGTACTTACTTTTCAACCTTGGACTTAGCTAGTGGATACCACCAAATTGAGATCAACGAATCAGATAGACAGGAAACGGCATTCAGCACATGGAACGGACACTATGAATTCCTTCGAATGCCCTTTAGCCTGAAGACAGCTCCAGCCACCTTCCAAAGAGCCATGGATAATATCCTAAGAGGCTTACAAGGAATTCATTGCCTTGTCTATCTTGATGACATAACTATTTTCTCGAGTAGCCTCCAGGAGCATTTACAAAAATTAAGGACAGTTTTGACAGATTGAGATCGTCTAATATAAAAATACAACTTGACAAATCAGAATTCTTGAGAAAAGAAGTGCTATACCTAGGGCACGTTATTACTAAAGACGGACTTAAACCAAACGATGATAAGATTCAGGCTGTATTAAGCTACCCGTTTTCAAGGACGACTACCGAGATCAAAGAGTTTCCTAGGATTGATTGGTTATTACAGACGCTTTGTAAAAGACTTCGCCAAAATCACTCAGCCCCTTACAGCATGCCTAAAGAAAAGAAATAAAATTGTAATAGATCAAAAATATATTGATGCGTTTCAGAAGTGTAAGGAGCTTCTGACTAATGCACCTTTACTCCAATACCCAGACCCAGACAAACCTTATGTTTTAACTACAGATGCTTCTACTGTTGCTTTAGGTGCGGTCTTATCGCAGGGGACAATAGGATCCGATAAGTCCATTGCCTACGCCAGTAGAATTCTCAGCGACACTGAGACCAGATATAGTACAATAGAGCGTGAACTACTCGCCATAATATGGGCCGTGAAACATTTTAGACCATACCTTTACGGGCGTAAGTTCACCATATATACTGACCATAGACCACTAGTTTGGCTTTATTCACTCAAAGAACCGAACAGTAAATTAACCCGTTGGCGTTTACGTCTTGCACCTTTACTCCAATACCCAGACCCAGACAAACCTTAAGTTTTAACTACAGATGCTTCTACTGTTGCTTTATCATCATCATTATCATTACAGCCCTTCACAAGTCCACTGCTGAACATAGGCCTCCCCCAAGTAACGCCACAAAGCACGGTCCTGAGCCACCTGCATCCATCGACTTCCTGCATGTCTTACCAGGTCGTCACTCCATCTAGTGGAGGGTCGCCCTACACTACGCCTACCGGTACGAGGCTGCCACTCGAGAACCTTTCTTCCCCATCGGTTATCGGTTCTTCGAGCTATATGGCCGGCCCATTGCCACTTCAGCTTACTAATCCGTTCGGCTATGTCGGTCACTCTGGTTCTACTGCGGATATCCTCTTTTCTGAGTCTATCACGCAGAGAAACTCCGAGCATAGCCCTCTCCATAGCTCGCTGAGCGACTTTGAGCGTCCTCATACGGCCAGCGGTGAAGGACCACGTCTCTGATCCGTAAGTCATCACTGGCAACACGCACTGGTTGTACACTTTAGTTTTCAGAGATTGAGGTATACCTGACGTGAAGATGTGTCGTAATTTCCCGAACGCTGCCCAGCCGACTTGAATCCGTCGATTGACCTCTCGGTCGAAGTTGGACTTACCTAGTCGGACTATTTGTCCCAGGTAAACGTACTCGTCAACAACTTCGAGCATAGTGCTCCCAACAACTACCGGCATAGGTGTAGCATGGACATTAAACATGATCTTTGTTTTGTCCATGTTCATCTTAAGACCTATCCGTTGGGAGACACCATTGAGGTTATTGAGCATAGTGCTAAGGTCCTCCAGCGATTCTGCCATAAGGACTATATCGTCGGCAAATCGAAGGTGAGTGATGTACTCGCCATTGATGTTAATACCGTATCCTTTCCAGTCCAATAGCTTGAAAACGTCTTCCAACGCAGCGGTGAAGAGTTTCGGGGATATAACGTCACCCTGTCTTACACCTCTCTGCAGATGGATACGCTTCGAACTCTGGTTCTGTACTCGGATAGCCATCGTAGCCCTACTGTACAAACACTTCAGCACTTCGATATACCGACAGTCAACTTGGCACCGCTGAAGGGACTGTAGCACCGCCCAAATTTCGACGGAATCAAAGGCTTTTTCATAGTCCACATACGCCAGGCAAAGTGGCAGATTGTACTCCTCGGTCTTCTGTACAATCTGCCGCAGGGTATGTATGTGGTCTATGGTACTAAAGCCTTTTCGGAAACCGGCTTGTTCAGGAGGCTGGAAGTCGTCGAGTCTGCGTGCGAGACGATTCGTAATGACTCTCGAAAACAGCACGTAGACGCGGCTCAGAAGGGAAATCGGTCTGTAAATCTTCAAGAGTGCGTTGTCGCCTTTCTTAAAGAACAAGACCACCGCACTTCTGCTCCACGCCTCCGGAGTAGTGCCACCATGGAGGACGGAATTGAAGAGCTTCTGAAGGACTTCAAGTACCGGTGTTCCACCCGCTTTCAGAAGCTCCGCTGTAATTCCATCCTCGCCTGGGGCCCTGCCGTTTTTAAGGTGCTGGAGAGCCATTCTAATCTCGCTCAGACTGACGTCCGGGATATCATCGGAATAGTGTCGGGTAAGACTTGCTCTTGGATCGTTACTCACACTTGCGTGTGGCTCCAACGATGATGTGTACAGCTGCCCATAGAACCTCTCAATCACACTCAAAATCTCAGGTGTCTCGGAAACGATGCTGCCACACTCAGTCTTCAGCTTTGACAGTTGGCTCTTTCTGGCAGACAGATCTCTGGCAAAGACTTTGGAGCCCTGGTTCCGCTCGATCGCTTCTTTAATACGAGCAGTATTAAAGTTGCGTAAGTCTCGCCGCATGCATTTGGAGATCTGTCTGTTCAGTTGCCTCTATGCTGTCAAATCTGTTGACGATTGCAGCCTCGTCTCCCGTCTAACAGCCATGAGATTAAGAGTGTGATCGGAGAGTTTTTGTGTTCTTCTGCGGCGGGTCTTGCAGAACTTAGCTCCGACCGCATGGACAGTTTCCACGAGCTTGTCATTCATATCGTCCACTGCATTGCAATCTTCTAGGCACTGAAAGCGGTTACGTAACTCGAGCTGAAAAGATTCGGGATTCTGGATTAGAGCACGAGGGGGGACGGAGCGCTGACTTTATTAGACAAGACCTCTCCAACTTAACTTTTAGGTTCAGTGTGCTATTATATATAACCATTCGGTGATCGCTGCCGGTTTTCACCCTTGCGATCACTGAGACATCACTGAACAGTTGGCGTCTGGTCGTCATAATGAAGTCAATCTCATTTTTTGTCGAACCGTCGGGGCTCGAGCAGGTCCACTTCCTGTGGGGCCGCTTCTGGAAGAAAGAGTTCATCATAAAGAGTCCCTCTTTCTCCATAAAGTCAGCCAGCTGCTGGCCCCTACGGTTCCGTTGCCCTACTCCAAAATTCCCTAACTTCAGCTCACCGCCTTCTCTTGTGCCTAGTTTTGCGTTGAAGTCTCCCATCAACACCGTGTAGTGGGTTTTGAAGGAATGCATGGCTCTAGAAATATCCTCATACATTTCCTCCACCTCCTCATCGGAATGTGCCGAGGTTGGTGCGTAGACCTGTATGACCTTCAGCGAATACCGTTTGGTGATTCTGAGTATCAGGTACGCGACCCTCGTCGACACACTCCCAATCTTTACAACGTTGTTGACGAGAGACTTGTGGACGATAAATCCGACACCTCCTTGGGACAGATGGTCGCCCTCCCGGTGATAGAACAAGTTGCCGGACTCGAGGATTACCGTGTCCTCCCCCTCTCTTCGGACCTCAGATAATCCAATAATATGCCAGCGCAACTTGTCTACCTCTTCTTCCAGCTCCATTATCTTCTCGTCAGTCCTCAGGGTGCGTGCGTTATACGTTGCCAGGTCAGAGGTGCGTTATACGTCGTCGTAGGTGGCAACCGAACCTCCACCGGAGATTCTTAGCACCCCCTGCCCCGCCGTTACCA